ATACTTATAACTCAGATTTATGGCCCTTGATTAGTTGTGTAGTATGCATGCATACATACATTGGCATTTCCAGATTTTACTATTTAACACAAAATTATGGCTCTGTTATTGCCCTGAATATTTATCAAGTTCAAAGAATATTACTGTTTATGCCATGATTAATATATGAATAAAGCCTTATGTCTTCAGTTGTTGTGTTAATAATAACCAGTACTCGGCGGGGGATATAAATTCAACGAATTTGCTTGTTGAACTGTGTTATCATAAAAAATAAAACACTTACAGAAAACTTTCTAAATGCTTTGGCCTGTGTCAAATTGCATTTATTCGCACAAAACATTTTAAATTGAATGTTATAAAGCTAAATCTATTACGTATTATAAACATGAACTTTAAGAATATATCAGTATAAGCATTATGACAAATTTATTAAAATTCTGGACATATGTTGTGAAGCAAATGTAATAGCAATATTTTTTTCGTAATTAAAACACAGTTAATATCTAGTTTATATCTAGTTTACAATCGATCAATTTTAAAGTAGCAACAGTCGTGGTAGTTTATGGAGTGCATCAATATTTATGTTTACAATCAAATGAAAATACAAATGTATTGAAATGTGTAAAATTCTGAAAATTGTAAATCCTCGAGAGCTATGATAACAAACAAATTTCAGTTGAAATTGCAGTTGTTTTCTATTCATGCCATATTAATAAAAGAATTTAATTGCTATAGCTTAATTGCTCAAGCACCGTCTTGAGTGATATTTAATTCTTAACACTAAAATATGGGGGGGGAGATTAACAAACAAAAGCGACGTTCACCAACGGCTGACAAGGCCACCGATAAGGCACCCAGCACAACAACGTACAAAACATAGAAAAGGGGCTCAAGGACCTGGCAGGTAGAGACCCAACAATTACTGGCAGTAATTAACAATTAACTAGAAACGTCGTGGGCAATTTCATTAGAACATAAAAAGGTGGATAAAGGTTGAAATCAATTATTCCAAGGGAACAATAAGATAAAGAAACAACAATATTGTTACAACTGCCACACGACAATTATAACCTACACTTGTCAGTAAAGGGGGATCACTCGAAAGGTATGATAACACAAGATTAGAGATGAAATTCGTAGATTCTTTTTGTGTTCTCTTTGGGGCTAGACGAACTTTTCACTCGGGGGACCTATTATAAATAAAACCAAACAAATAATGGTAGCGAAATTTCAGACCCTGATGCTGTGAATTGCAAATGCCGAAAGTAGTCCGCTTTTTTGAAGCGGTTACGTCCTTTCATATGTACATTAACGCCGAAAAATTAAGGGGAGATCACTGCGTAAAGATTGTCAGCAATCTCCTACGCAGTGATCTCCCCTTATCAGTACAGAGATCTCTGCCATCACAAACATTGAAATATCAATATTTGGATATTTATATTTTTTATCTTTTTAATTCATTTTTCATTATTTTGTATACTTTTGATAATGTTTTGATAGAATATAACGGACGCAGGTACAAAAAGTTAAAAATGAATCAGAAAGAGAAAAATGACGTTAGATTTTCTATGTAACGGTCGATATTAACATGTGAATTTCGACGTTACGCCATGTGACTTTCATCATCATGTGACGTCTGTGAAGGCAGTGATTACAATTCTGCCAAGGGAGGTAATCACTGTGAGGAGTTTGGATTGTCAGATGACAGGCGCATTAATTTTCGTAACGAAAAATTAGTTCCCGATTGGTCGAAGATTTCTAATATTGTGTTATTCTTATAGATATACATGCTTATATTCAGCTCCATGATTATTTACTTCAGTGTTAAGCAACAGGTTTACCGTGAACAAAATACATCGAAATTAATAAGGGTTACAAACTCTAATTAAGAATAATATGGTATTCTTCAGGCTGTTATCTTATAACTCCCCGTAGTCGAGGGATTTACACGCTCGCTTTACAAGCGAGAGGTCCGGAGTTCAAAGCCCAGTTCAGCCTACTCACGTCTTGTTTTGTTTTTTGTTGTTGTTGTTTTTTTGTTTTTTTGTTTTTTTTTTGTTTGTTTGTTTTTTTAATTGATTAAGCCAAATAAACATTGAATTGAATATCAGTGTTGCAATTAGTCTTATAGCAACTATAGTTATAACACTGGAAACAGAATTTGGTGACACTTTACAAAAAAATTGGTTAATAGTCTTACAACCTTCACCTTTCTGACATTCTGAGACCCAAACAAATTCAGCGCCGTCTGTGCTTTGATTTATGTCCTTAACAGGTACTTGTTGTTAATCATTATCTTTCATCATTGACCATTTATGTATTTTGGTGCTGTATTTAGGCATTTTGATTAGTATAGCCAGAAATTGTTGTTCTGTATTTATTTAAATTATCAAGACGTATGTTAATATTCTATAACATCAATGCATACACTTTTTGCTAAGGAATGTCAAAAGTTGCTATGGAATTCACTAGTTGCTATAGAAAGGCATTGGCTGCTGTGAAAAAAATGTTTGCAAAAGGGAATTTTCTTGAAAATCATTGGTTGCTATGGAAAACGAATAAAACGATATATGTAAATTAATGTCGTGAGTATATTTCTATAAAATTCAATACGTTTAGATAATATATTTAAATATAAAACGCAATCGATTCAAAGTACATCATTACAGACTTTTTTTCAAAAGAATAACGATGTGTCTTTTTAATTGATACATTTTCATATATCATATTTGTAATGGATTGATATCTTCAGAATAATTAGAGTTCCTCTTTAATAATTATAATCAAAGGACTGCAAGCTCTGTGGTATTTTCTGATCTTTGCAATATAAATCGTTATGTATATCTGTATGTATTTTCCTGTATAATTTTATTTTTACATACTATAATTCATCTTACAGGGCACCGAGATGCAGCGACTGCGTTTAGATTTTTTACTATAACAGTTTGAGTTTGATACATACGGAATTTTGCATGACTCGAGTTGCACCAAAAAATAATTTATGTTCATTTTTAATGACAGCCACACTTTCTACTTGAATATACTGGCTACTTCCTTAAAAAGACACTTAAACAAAATAGTTGTCTCGACCGGGATTGAACCCTAGACCTCTCGCACCCTAAACGAGCGCTCCACGGGCCAGTTATACGAAGAAAGCCTGAATAAATCAAATGATTCTAAATTTAGAATTTCCATTTCGGGTTTGAAATCCTTCTTAATTTCGAGGTATTTTGTTAACGATAAACCTGTTGTTTAACACTGCTGTAAATAATTTAGCGAACATCTTCTCGCCAAAACAGTCCGACATGTATATAATCCACTATTCGACAGTTAGATTTATTTGTGTACTACGCTGTGAAGTATTCGGTAATCGACATAGCTAAAAATATCATTTTCATTGATTAAAATTACATTCATCCGCGTAATCTGTGATTGTGCATTTATTGACAATTCTATAAGCAAAAGTAAACGTTGAATGCGTTGTAATTTGTTGGATACTTGTAACAAAATAAAAATATTTCTTTCTTTTACATCGCTAGTTTTAAGCTTTTTTGAGAACTACTTGTTGTTAGGTTTGTCGTGAAATTTTGTGCTAGACATTGAATGTCAGCATTGTTTTTCCTGATCTGCGATCAGAAAATACAAAAAGTGTTCTGCACTTCAAAATCACATAAGGGTAATTCTCCTACTGAATTATTGCTATTAATTATTACATTTCATAAAAAAGAATGTTATTAAAAACTGATTTTTATACATTAAATCTTATAGTTAACCAGTCGGTAACCCAGGCTATGAATTTCTACTACATTTCTATTTAGGGCAAGGCTTTTTTGCCCTACGCAAATTGTGCATGCGCGAAAAAATACTACTTCCGGTCAATTTTTCATAGTAACGGATCGCGTCGTAAAAAGGTCTATTTACTGCATTAAATGTAGTTCATATGGAATGTGTACTGTAAGTTCTGACGAAGACATTCAATGTAGTAAATATATACGGAATGTGTACCGCGGGTTCCGACGATGTTATTCAATGTAATATATACGGAATGTGTACGTGGAGATTAACACTGTAATGATGTCAGTTTACTACTTGTATTGTATTGTTTGGTACTTTACTTTTGAACTTTTCTAAACTAGACGTAACCTGCGTACCTTTATACTTGCTAGACATGAGGCTTCAGGCATGAAATATAGATAACCTTTAAGTGTTTAAAATAGTTTTACATATTAACTATGAAAATAAATATACAATCATTATTATAGTATTTATACCAAAAGTATACTCATAATTTACGTAAGTTGGATAACAGTTTCTCGAAACATCCGTACTATGTTTTGTCATGAATGGCTGGGTCATGTGATTTAACGGTAGAGCGACTTCATCATGGCGTTATGTCAATTCAACATTTAACATGAAAATATGCAATAAAATTAAGAATTTAGTAACAGCGGCAGATGTACTGCAGATATTGACATAGACAAAACACAGAATTTCAATCACGTTGCATTCAACTGGAATATATGTCATTAGAGATGTAAAAAAGCAAAATGAAACTGCTTTATATATTTTAACAAACTTAAAGTCAGGTTTTAAGTGGTCTGGTAAAGTTTGTTTGGATTGAAATGCTGAAATGCGTAATAATTATTTTTTTTCTCGGAATATGATGTGATGCGAAGAAAAATGCCTTTTAGAAGGACATGCACCATTGGTTAAAGCATTTAACTAATTTAACTCCCTTTCGGTTCTCCGCTCCCAATGTTTGCCGTATCCCTGCATGGTGCCCCGACATAACGTTTCGTGATTGAGGGACAAAGCTTCTTTAGGTTATATAGGTTGTTGCCTATAATCTATTCCAGGAAAGGATTTTGTTTAGTTGCAACTTCTTGATACCCTTTTAAACATTTTATTGCACTGAATACACGACCCAAAATTATTTTTCACACCTCTTATCAGTTTAAAACCTCTCATCATCAATTGATTTATGTACGTGTATCATTTTGTATCCATACGCATGTGATGTGTAAACACGTTTAAAAGTTTTAAAACATCGTGAAAATTTAAACCAGTTTGCACCAGTTGAATCATGGCCGACACTGATAGTTTAAAATGTTTAACGATGGAACAGATACAAGAAGTATGTAGACTTAATATTACTGGACTTCTTTATATTAATATTTATGTAATATCTTGTGTTCACCTTATGCTTATTAGTTTTAAAACATTTGTTTTTATGTCTTGAGTGTGTTTGTTTAACCTTTAAGATAAATAAGTGTGTTCCCTACTTTGAACTTGCAATAAACCATTCGAATTTTAAGAGATTTCAGTGTCAAAAAAATCAAAATGATCGAGCTACCAACAGCACGGGTGTGCATGCTAGCCATGCTCTATACTTGTGGCAAATGCTAATTTCAGTTTCAGCAATGAGACGTTTTAGCAAACTACACAGTCATGGTACACAGTTATGCCGCAACGAATGACAACAAAGGCGATAATGATAGTTCATGTTTTATGTATCATTTGTTACCTTATCATACAACTTACATGTGTTAGTTTTACAGTATAATAATTATATACCACTTATTAGTTTCAAAGTTAAATATACACCACTTACTAGTTTCTCAGTTTAATATATGCCACTTATTAGTTTCAAAGTTAAATATACACCACTAACTAGTTTCTCAGTTTAATATATGCCACTTATTAGTTTCAAAGTTAAATATACACCACTTACTAGTTTCTCAGTTTAATATATGCCACTTATTAGTTTCAAAGTTAAATATACACCACTTACTAGTTTCTCAGTTTAATATATACCACTTATAAGTTTCAAAGCTAAATATACACCACTTACTAGTTTCTCAGTTTAATATATGCCACTTATTAGTTTCAAAGTTAAATATACACCACTTACTAGTTTCTCAGTTTAATATATGCCACTTATTAGTTTCAAAGTTAAATATACACCACTTACTAGTTTCTCAGTTTAATATATGCCACTTATTAGTTTCAAAGTTAAATATACACCACTTACTAGTATCACAGTTTAATATATACCACTTATCAGTTTCAAAGATAAATATACACCACTTACTAGTTTCTCAGTTTAATATATGCCACTTATTAGTTTCAAAGTTAAATATACACCACTTACTAGTTTCTCAGTTTAATATATGCCACTTATTAGTTTCAAAGTAAAATATACACCACTAACTAGTTTCTCAGTTTAATATATGCCACTTATTAGTTTCAAAGTTAAATATTTAATATATACGACTTACTAGTGTCTCAGTTTAATCAAAGTTATTTATACACTTATTTGCTTTACAATTTTCTCAGTTTAATATATACCACCTGTCACTTTCTTAGTTTTAGTTTCTCATTTAACATACTAGTATTCGTTTTTCATGTGAACATTAAATCAAAGTGAAAACTTTTCAGTGAAAACTCAAACAAATTTACAGCAGTATAAAGGTTATCTAGCGGTCACATATTACCATAAATATAAATGTCAACGTTTCGGCTCTTCCCGTCATACTCCGGTAGTTATGGGTAACCAAAGAGGTGTTCCGAATGCATCAAGTTGTCAATCGGAATATCTCGACTATCATCAACAATAACCTCGGACTAACTATGGATTGAAAGTAGTTCTGTCACGTGGTTTTAGATGTAAACAAAAACTGAAGGTGTAATCATTTATAATGCATAACTAATGTATGTATTTCACATCCAAAGGAAAATTAAGTATATTTCTATAAAACTATGATTGAAAATATGTTTGACAATCATAATCAATTAAAAAATGCATTTTGTACCTCCGGTTTCTACAACCATAAGCAATTAATTCATAAGTGTATATTATATAATTTAATTTTATTTATATATTATTCCATAATTATTTCATAGCAAAAAATGATAATATAACATTAATCGATCAATAAATCAATAAATAAATGAATCAATCAATCAATCAGTCAATCAATGAAATAAGATAAAATCATAGGCATTTGACAACACTTAAATGATTTACTAGTACTTTACACTAGACAACAATAAAGCGCATATGATAATGTACACAGATATAAACGTGAACGAAACATAAACGATCTACTTTGAAAAAACTAATTTTTGTGCATTTTTTTCTTCAATTATTTCTTTTTTTCAGGCTTTTGATAAAACATTGAACAATTTTAAAGAGCCGGGAGTCAGACTGGTCCTTATAACAGAAAAATATGAAGAGGTCGCTTTGAAGTTTGCACGAGAACATTATATAGCTCAGGAACCAATGAACAAGGGTTTTGGAGTGACGTGGACAGATGACGTTGAAGCGTTCTTCAAGAGTGCTTTTAAGCTTAGACTGTCTCTGATGTTTTTGAATGAGAGGGATGATGATCCAATTGCGTTTCGTGTCACTAGGATAGCTCGGTATGACGATAAATCTGATATTGACGACATCAAAGACCAGCCTCTTAAAGAACTATTTCGCTGTATGGATTACTGTGAACAGAAGACAGATTTCTTTGGCCATTTTCAAACTAAGGAGGCTTTTCATTTTATCGCTCTGGCAGTTGCCCCGAAATACAAACAACTTGGTTACGGGACAAAGATAGTTAACGTAGCAATTGATATGATCCGTCATTTTGGTTTCGATCCTGTGTATATTAAAGTTGAGGGTTCCTCGAATTTTTCACAGAAAATATTTGAAAAGTCAGGTATGGAAATGTTATTCGAGCTGTTCTTTGATGATTGGGAAGTTAAAGGAAGGAAAATAATTCAGAATACGGGCATTCACAAGTCTGTTAGAATGTATGGCATGAAATTGTCAACAGCATAACCGTGTAACGAAGGTTGATGTAATAGCGATACAATGTTCTAAAACAAAGCATAATGCAACTAACTCCAATGAACATTTTGATTTTATTACTGGACAATATACATTTACATGCAAGGAATCGATAATCTCATTCTGAGCGCTCATGTTCCTTTATATATTTATTGCCTTTGATATCTACATGTATAATGACTATATAATTATGATTCTTCCTTTATCCTTTTAGTATCGTCTGTTATTATTAATTCTATATTATACACATAGTGTATTACGGGTATTTCATCTTACAAATCAAAAGGCTTTATTATACTGTAGCTATAAGCGCCTGTTAAAATAGAAAATTCTACATTATCCAGGCGCTTGTTTTATAACCAAGCACTCAGAATAGTCGAGCAAGATGTCCTTCTGGCAGCTCTTGTAAGTAAATTTTAAGCATGTTTTTTGTTGTTGTTTTATTTTTCTTCAGTTCAAAGCTTTGATGAGTCGGTCCTTTTACTCAGGTCCGACGTTTTTTGATGATCGCTCTGTTTTGAAAGTTTGATCCTCTCTTTCATCAAAGTAAAGACCTTGCGATTTATAACGAATGCAAAGAGAATGAAGATTCCTTGACCTGCGTTGAGAATGATAAATATGAAGGAAAATGTAAGGACACCAGTCCATATGTAGAGAAAACCAAATATCCAAGTCAGTCCCGTGATAGTGGAAAGCTTTGCAAAAATGACGAGCTCATTGCGCTCGTGATTAACATGCTTACGAATATTTGGTGCTCTTCTGATTTTTAGAATGACTGACAAAAACATCGAAATGTTGATAACAATTGTGACTAACGTTGGTAAAACAAATGTGAACATAAGTTTTTCCCTCGATGTGATATAGCAGAATTTCCCGCCGTATCCAATGTTACCAGAGGTTACAATGGAAGAAATGAGATTAGCGAGTACAAAGGTTGCAGACATGATGTAAACATAGAACAAATAGAGTGTAAAAGTCTTCGATCCATAATCAGTAACTGACGCATGCGTCTTAGCTAAAACACGAAACATGTGATACGTGCAGACGTTCATCCAAAATATAGTACACAACCAGATGAAATGAATAAGAACTCCTACAACCTTGCAGCCGGTGGAATATTGCTCAAAAGGTCCAAGACTTCCAACAAGCAACAAAGTTTGGGCTATCAAAAGGTGTACAGTTAACGACACGTTGTTTTTACCTGGCAGAGGTGTCCTTAGCTTGGGTATTATACAATATACAACAAAGGTCACAAATAGTGAAAGAATAGACAAAGATGAGCATGTGATAGAAACTATAATTTCGGCGGTCAACGTCCTTTCTGGTGTAAGATGGTGCATGATTTTCTGAAACATGTCTGTGCAGATCATGATATTTAAATGGTCTATATAGTAATATGTGTTACTTGGTATCTTTAATGTATTGAAATCCAACCCATCTACATCATTCGTCCAGGGAATATCTACTTTTGAGATATTCACCTTTGGGCAAGAAGAAAAGCGTATGACATCGATCTCATATGATTTCATATAACAGCCATGATTGAGCGAAAGGAAAAAAGTGTACGGCAGTAAAGTCAAACCATCTGTATCAGTCAGGGCGTACTTGGACATGATTCCGATTCTTTTTTCGGGCGTTGGAAATGATTTGACTTCGGAATGTAAACCATTGGATCCAAGTAACATTTCAGCAATGTTAAAAAATCGAACATCACTGTCCATTACAAATAAAGTATATTCGATTGATGTATTCTCGTTATTGACTATTCTCAGATTTGTATTATGTAACTTAAGTATATCGTCCGCCACTCTCCATGGCTCTCTGCTTTCTTCAAACAACCTTAACCTTACGTCAACATACTGAAGTCTCGATTGAATCAAAGCGGGTAATGTAATTTTATCAAAGTCTATATCAAACTTGAATAAAAGCTGTGTCTCACATATATCAAGATTTGAAAAATTCGCTTGAAATACATTCATTACATTAAACGACCAATCAGAATCATTTGCGAATACGTCACCAGCAGACTGGGTTGACTGTGGTTTTAGTCGTACGTATAGAATGTAGCTAAAAGCGTCGAACACGTCTGTGTATGCGTTAATGCAGCGTCCGTCTCGCAGTACTCTCATCCCCGGGCAATAAATATCTTTACAACGATTCTGAAACATAAAAAAAAGAATAAATTAGATGACACCGGGCATATATTATTGCGGTGAGGAAACCTCTATCAAATGCACAACTCTAGTTATATAACTTAACAAATAGTATCTCATTTTTACCGTTTTATACCTCGTTCCTTGGTACTGAAAAAGCCCATTATGCCCCATAAATGTTTTTGATTTTATTTCGCAATAGCTTTTATTTTTGGCGTCCTGTTATAGTTTTCTAAATGTTAAACATTGGCCAAGTACCTGAAACACTTTTTGCTTCTGTTGTTTAATTTTGTTAATATATAAAATTATAGTTATTTTGTATGGAATTAGAAAATATACTACTTTGTTTACATTTGCTACTTTTATGACAGATAATTTAACATTCAGTGCTTCTTTCGTTGGGTGATGAGTACATGTATCTAACATGCTCTAAGACATTTCAAAACCTATGTTTGGCTTTTATTAAGATGGAAAGAAATATGCATTTCTGAGGCATAATGCGCAGTAACACCGTACTTTGGGGTCCAACGCACTTTTGGGTCAAAATAGAGAATTTGACCCCAAAGTGCATAAAATGCTACATATCAACGCACTTTGGGTTTCAGAGTTTTGAAGGTGATCACTGAGTTCTGCTTAAATACTGTGTACTGACTTATGTTCGATCTGCGACATTGAAATATTTGAGGTGGAGTTCGAGATGACGGTCGATACTTTGTTTCATGCTTAAGTGATAAACGTTTCATTAATTGTACTAATTGAAATATCTGAAAATTGTGTCCATATAAAAAAGTACTCTAGTGCATAAATTGTGAATGTATTCCCAAAATTAAAAGATGCTGCGAAAAATATCATATTCTGTCAGCCATTTACTTGATAACTTTTGGTGCCATATTGAGCCCCATTTTAAATAAGAAAGTTCTTCACTAACTGACCAAGATCATTTAAAATCGCTATTGATTCGACTATAATTCAGTATTTCAGGGCACATGTTTTGCGTCTATTTTATACCTTGATATCACATTTTTTTGTAAGCTCCGTAACAACCGTTCGCCAGAGGCTTCTTAATGGGAAATCTCACATACTTCTTAAGAAAGGACAAACATGAATTTTATCATGTTTAAATAATGGTATCAGAGAGAGTAAGATGCTTGTTACCTGAATAAAGTAGCGATAACTGTGAAATAAGTTGTCATAAAAGTAGCAAAATGGAAACAATACAGTATTGTACTTTCATATAAAAAAACTAATTCACTATAACTGTACTCATTGCGAAAAGCCAACAAATGACAAATTGGCCAATGAGTAACTTTAAAAAATGTAAAGTTCTCATTGAAGGGTCTAAAGGGGATGGTGGGGTGTCGATCGCCTCGAGATTATTAAACTAAAGTTTTAAAGGCCCATGATGTATTTCTTAAAAGCTATTAATTTTTGGTGTACTATAGAAGTACATTTTCTAAATGTGTGACTATTATATAGAGGATATTTGTTTGTTTGTGTGTAAGATGAAATTTTATTTCATCGAGTGGGCTTTAAAAACAGTATTCTCACGAGTGGCGAAGCCACGAGTGAGAATACTGTTTTTAAAGTTCACGAGATGAAATAAAATTACATCTTACACAACAAACAGACAAATTTTCTTTTTATTTTATGCTTAAAAACAAGTTAAAACGAAATTTCCATAATTTTAACGTTAATATTAAAACTGTTTCCCCCCATTGAGAGCCCCATTTATTCGGAATTTCTCATTAAAAAAAAAGAAGTCTTGAGCTGAAAAATAAGTCCGCCAATCAACATTAAATGACGGTGATATTTATTAATTTTATTACAAAAATATGAATGATCGCTTGTTTTGATAATAAAAACAAACAATTCTTGTAGGAGAAAAAGTCCAACCATCCATCCATATTTCTGTTACTTAGTGCGAATTTATATTAGACCTGGCTTTGTAAATTGTAAGCGGCAGCCATTTTTTAAAGTTGTGTATTTCATGGGAGGAAAATAATTGTGTAAGATTCAGAGGGATATAATTTGGATTTGTTAGTCATACACATTTTTAAAAGAACGAAAACTTATTTGAGGATTGTAACAGACAAAAAATAAGTGTTGACAGATGTGAAAACATTCAGAAAAGGAGCTAGGAAAATGGAAAACTTGGAAACCTGCACAAGAACGCTGGGTTGATTTAACTTACTCTTCGAGTTATGGCTGTCAATGCTTTCAATTTTTCATAAAGCATACGGCAGTTATTGCTCGTAGGATACTTTAATATGCCCAAATGTCATCAAGAGCAGTTTTGCATGGGGAAGGAATGTATTTTTGAGACTAAAATGAAACAAAAAAAACGAAATTTGGTGATTGGAATTTCATGAATTTGAATGAATAGAAGTAAGTTTTCTTCTTTTTATTACTTTTGACATTTAAGTTATTTATCAATTTCAGTTTTGCTTTTTCTTTAAACAGCCTGACATTGTCAGAATTGTCAGCAAAAATAAAATTGAGGTACCACATGGGGAAAATCTTAAAAAAGTAGTTTCGTCATTGAAAAGAGTGAAATTATATTTTGATAATTTTCACTGTGAAATTACCAAATATAATTTTCACGGATAAATCAGTAATCCACTGAAAAGCATAAAATAAACTAAACTAGTGTTACAGCCTGTACGGACTATTACTACTTAAGGTCGCATCTTCACCTAGTCAAGTTTCTTAATGTCACATTTAGAGAAGCTAAATAATGGCCCTTTCAACATTTTATCAGGCACATTTTTTTTACTGAAATGTCTTATTTAGATATCCCAGGATTTATAAGTTTTCTTTGCTAAGACTATCATATTTCTATAAAATGTGTAAATAAAAAAAGGGAAAATGATGCAATTAGCTAAAGACAATGGAGTTAATGAAATGTGTACATGTACGTTCTTTAAAAATAAATGGACAATGTGAGAAAAAATATTTTGAGCTTATTAATTAATACAATTTTTTTCATTTGATAAAAGTTCTTCACTAACTTATCAAGATCATTTAAAAACCCTATTGATTCTACTATAATTCAGGGCTTCGATGTGATATATTGTCGGAGGAAGAACAAGAATCATAACACAGAGTACAGGACGCATTTTCTTATCAAAATCTTGTTGTAATTTTTAGATGTAATACATCTTTGTCATAGTCATGCTGATACAATGTAACATAAAGTATCTTGCTGTTATAGTGAAAAAAATAGTCATGAATCTTACAAGTATTAATTTTACAATGTTTTATGCATGTATATACTTAATACATTTAATGCATATAATGAAGATTAAAACAAACTATTAAACTAGAGATTTTACCTAAATAGGGAGATCATGGGGCATCTAACAGTTAACATATAGAACACTATTTCATTCCGTTTCCAAAGGAATATCGGAATATGCATGCTAACAAAACAAAATACATATAGCAAATGAAAAATGAAAAAAATAACAAAACAAATGGCCCTTTTTTCATCTACAAGGCACGTCCGTACGAGTACCTTGTGGGTATTCAGTATGTCAAATATTGACAAGAAAAACACATCACTTACTGTTAAAGCGTCGTATAGTTGCTCCGTACTGCACGATGAACGCTGGTTCTCCCTGTTTTGTGCAAGGTAAGTTGTTGTAAAACCTTGATCAAAATCAAGATTTAATAATCCTGAGAAGGCAAAAACATCCGTGGCAAGAATATAGTGTATGTCACACGTCACCGAATGTGGAATTATTCCATTACATAATGCACAAAATACATTCCGGAACACGTAATTCTCATGCGTGAACTTAGATTCATACAACTGACAAGCCAGATCAAGCCGTATATCGTATTGTTTCCAATCCGCAGTCACGTTACATTTGGATATAAAATATTTACATTCTTTTATATGAACACGTTCGTCGTAAAATGCGTATGTCAAATCACACGATTCATTTGAAAATATTAGCTCAACGAGTTCTTGTTCTGATGTCACGTGTGTTGAAAGATGTTCCCTATCACCGCAGGAAACTACTGGACGGAAGTACATTATATCCTCTTCAAGCACACCGTTACACAGGGCGCAGAATTTATTCCTGAACAAAGACAAGCTGATGTTACTATAAGCCGGTAAGGTATCCTTGATTCTAAGGTCATCCGTGTATGGCCTTGTGCAATTGTATACAAGTTCAAGGTCACTCTGAAAGGGGCAATCCGAAACAGCCAGAAATCCTTTTTGCAAATACGAAGGCCGAATTGTCAGATGGCGTAAATTACAAGTTGGTTTTGTCAGTCCTCCAGATTTAGATATTTCCGGATTAAGCATCATATTTATACCGTTCAACAGAACCGTATCGTTAATGTCATATACAAACTTCGTCTCGTTCAAAGCACTCGGACAACAACCTTTCTCACTATCACACGTGCTGTCACATAAGCACGAATCACAACAACTTTTCTGGTCCGTCTTTGCGTTAATTTCAAAATCACAGAGTTTAACGTATGGGCAATATTTCATTTGGGTTTCAACAACAAATCTTTGAAATTCGTTTTTAAAGCCCGCTAGGTATTCATGTACTCTATTCTGAGTCTTGATATAATTTTCTACGTCCTCTAATCTGGCATTAAACATTAACAAATCATGCTGAGGCATTGGCGCAGTTACTTCTTCAAAGAATGACGTTAACGTCAACAACGGTGGAAACGTTGTTGGTGCTATTGACGAAGTTGAACTATTCTCATATTGTGTTACAATATCACATCTACTTATTTCCAAACAAATATTCCAGATGCTCCAAACAAATATGAACCAGCTTTTAAACATTTTAACTTAGTTTTTAGTTCTTTTTTATTTAAAATAAATTCGTCCAAACCATAAACATTCACGCTCGCACTGTGCCTATCCGATCTAATATCAGTGATATAAACGTTAATGAATTATTAGTAAATTATTAATACAAAAATTCTAACAATAATGACAACATATTCAAAGGTATAATACATTAATGATGATATAAATCTATCCCCCGAAGGGGTTTCATTCACATTTTACAGTTTGGTAAACATGCAACTATTTAGATTTCCAGATATGGAAATTAATGTAACCGGAGTGTTTTTGTAATTGTCACGTATTGTGTGTGTGTGTGTTTGATTGATAATAACATTAACAATTGCATTTAGTTAATGCTCGAATTCGTCAGTTCGATGTTGTTGTTTTTAGCTCACCTGAGCATATGCTCAGGGTGAGCTATTAGGATCACACTTCGTCCGTCGTCTGTCGTCCGTTGTCCGTCGTACGTCGTCCTTCGTCCGTTGTCCGTTCACACTTTTAAAACGACATCTCCTCTGAAACCATAAGGCAGATCATAATGAAACTTCACAGGGATGTTCCTTGTGTGAAGCCTTAACAAAGTTGTTCAAAGAATTCCATTCCATGCAGAACTCTGGTTGCCATGGCAACCAATAGGAAAAACTTAAAAATCTTCTTGTCAATAACCACAAGGTCTAGAACTTAGATATTTGGTGTGTAGGATCCCCAAGCAGACCTCTATCAGTATTGTTCAAATTATGGCCCTAGGGTTAATATAATTGACCTCGCCCCAGGGGTCACATGATTTTACATAGACTAATATAGGAAAAACTCAAAAAATCTTCTTGTTAGAAACCACAAAGTATAGAGATTAGATATTTGGTGTGTAGCATCCTCTAGCAGAACTCTACCAAGATTGTTCAATGTATAGCCTTAGGGTCATTATTGGCCCCGCCCCAGGGGTCACTTGTTTTATATAGACTTTTAGAGGAAAAACATAAAAAATCTTATTGTCGGAAACCACAAGGTTTAGAGCTTAGATATTTAGTGTGTAGCATCCCGTAGCAGATCTTTACCAAGATTGTTCAAATTATGGCTCTAGGGTCAATATTGGCCCCGCCCAAGTGGTCCCTTGATATTACATAGGCTTATAATGGGAAAACATTAAAAAATCTTCTTGTCAGAAACCACAAGGCCTAGAGTTTAGATATTTGGTGTGTAGCATCCTCTAGCAGAACTTGACCAAGATTTTCAATGTATAGCCCTAGGGTCAATATTGGCCCCGCCCCAGGGGTCAGTTGATTTATATAGACTTATATAGGAAAAACTTAAAAAATCTTTTTGTCAGAAACAACAAAGTCTAGAGCTTAAACACTTTGCTTGTAGCATTTTCTAGTGGACCTCTACTGAGGTTGTTCAAGTTATGATCCCAGGGTAAATATTGGCCCTGTCCCAGATGTCATTTGATTTTACATAGACATACAAATGTATAAATGGCTATAACTTTGTTATAAATAAATGGATTGTCTTCAAACTTGGACAAAACAACACTTGGGACAAAACCTCAAATGTGTCCTAGCTGAATCCCATTTCATGTTTTGCTTGAATTTACATAGACTTATATTAGAAAAACTTCGAAAACTTTTCTTGTTTTTAAAAAGAAAAATACTTTATAAGATCAGGCAAAATTTTCATTTCTTTGTTTTTTAAAATTTTTCATTCATTATTCTGTAAATGTCCTCAAAATGAATATACTGGGCAGTCATAGGAACAAAACTCTTCTCATTATAAAGAATAAAATAGTGGTTTCCTAACTTGACCCACGTGGGTCAGGTTAGAGCGTTTCGTTTGATTGGAGTAACTATTGTTGTCATTAATTTGCCTGAGTATCCCTTTAAAGCTTTGCAATAATTAAGTACGGACCCGATATTTACATTGAGTGTCCAAATGTAAACTGTAAATCCTGTAAAGCATTTGATCATTCCTTTATTGAGTAATACTAATACTCTATTGTCCATTAAATCAATTGAATTCTACCATAAAAGATTTGTCCGTGGAGGATAACTATGACGGTGTAATGAGTAAATATTGTAAAAGGTGTATTTGATTGCTGAGCTTTGATAAAAAATAATATTGTTCTAATGACGCACAAACGACTCCCTCTGTACTGTAATTCATTTTTGCTGCTATTTATTTTCACTCCCAGTAGTGTAATTACATTCAGTGACCTGCACTGTTCAATTTTACTCCCCCATAGTGTTTTTTCCACTCAACTGTTTTTCAAAATTTTTGAACCCCTTTTGTTATACAAATCGTGTTATCTCATTTGAAATACATCTTTTTAATTCAGACTACACTCCATTCACTGTTTTTGATTAACACGCCCCTCTATTATAATATATTTTTTCACTCCCGCTCTAATTTTATATTATTACACTCCCCTTCTCTATTATATATCATATCACTCCCCTTTTATTATTATATTATTGCGCTCCCCTCTTTATTATTATATTAGTTCACTCCTCACACTATTATTATAATATCCCATTCCCATTATTATATTAATGCGCTCCCTTCTCTATTATTATATTATTTCACTCCCCTCTATTATTATGTTATTTCATTCCCCTCTCTATTATCATATTATTGCGCTCCCCTTTCTTTTATCATATAATTGCGCCCCGCTCTCTAATATTATATTATTGCGCTCACCTCTCTATTATTATTTCATTGCGCTCCCCTCTCTATTATTATATTATTGCGCTTCTCTCACAATTGTTATGTTATTACACTCCCCTTTCTATTATTTCACTCCCCTCTCTTTATTTTTTTCACTCCCCTCTCTATTATTTCACTCCCCTCTCTTTATTATTTCATTCCTTCTCTATTATTTCACTCCCCTCTCTATTATTATATTATTTCATACTGTTCCCTGTTATACAGTTATACAATTTTACTACTCTCTAAACCTGTGCCATTCCATTGCCTCTAGTGTTACTAAAATAATTCAATTTTACCACATCTATAGCTATTCAATTTTACTCCCTCAACATTTATTACAATTTTGTCCATTTAATTATTCCTTCTTTTCATTCTATTTAAATGCAACTCATTCTATAATTATTCATTGTAATATCTCTACTGACAATAATTTTCACTGGCTCTATTAAAATTCAATTTTATTCTAGTAACTGTTTTACATTTTGGTGGGTGGGTGGTCGGGGGATAACGTCGCACCAACACAGTGAAGGTCATATGGCGACTTTCCAACTTAACTGGTGGAGGAAGACCCAAGGTGCCCCTCCGTGCATCATTTCTGGCACGAACTGGCATCTAAGTAGAATAACCACAGTAAGTTAGCTCATGAAAGTAGTCAAAGTCTCGAGAGAGATTCAACAAGGACAAGTGATTAGAACCAAGATGGAAATTCTAAATTCCAATGTTTTTATTAAAACAATAAATACATGCCCATATAATGACATCAGTACTATTATGACAAAATTCGATGGATATAGAATTCAAAGCATTTCCAACAATATCACCAACATTTGTTAGTAACGGAAATTTTGACCGAATTTTCTATTTGTCAAAAAATATTTATTTTGCCAAATATTACGTTTACCTTTTTTTTGTAAAATATAAACAGATTTATTTAGAACTTTGTCCATGAACAGGCTCGGTTTGATTGACATTTTCAATTTTGTCCAACTGTGCGTTATTTAGGGATTCATTTTTCTCTCTCATTTTTTGTAGAAATGAAATGCAAAGATTTGTAAATGCTTATATAGCAAACAGTAAGCACAGTTTCATCAATAATAATTTTCAATACAACAAAGAAAATACTTAGCATAACAAATACTTAAAGCTGCATGCCTCCAGATAAACCAAAAATTTATATAAAAAAAAATAAATAAACAAACTTGAGAAAAATGAACCAAAATTTAAAGAAATGTAAAAAAGATTTAAAGATTCAAATAATAATTTACATGTTGTGTGCGTTAATGACTGATTTTTAAGTATTTATCATCTTATTTTTACTGCGTGACTAACGCAGTAAGGGTATTTTTTGTATATTTTGACCTCTTTTTAATTTATATGTCATTTATAAGTGCGGTTTGCAATATGTAAATTACTGTCTTTGTTCACATCGCAATATTTTACATTTAAAATACATTTTCAACATTTTCATGAAAGTTTGTATGAACCTGGAGGCTTGCTGCTTTAAGCGTTTTAAGTACGCATTGCAAAGATTGGTTTTTATTTTTCAATCTAACAATAATTATATGATTATTGTAGATCTGGCCCTGGGTAAATAAGCTTTGTAATATTGGTCTGCCATCTTTACTGTAAATTTAGAAATTTATGCAAAAGTTTAATTTTCGCGAGTAAATCTAAGCTGTTGCTAAAATGCAGGAATACACCACCAATCTTTATACACTATTATATGAGTATTATACACTTTTGTCAGATATTGGAAAACGAATAAAAATCAATTTGACTAGAATCCATCATGTGTTATTTTTTCTCTAGTTCTGCAATTGTTTCATACAGTATCTTTTCCAGATCTTGGTACCTGGGGTCATCTCCCACACCATGTATAGTTAAATGATTGGTCAAATAGGAGATCCCAATATTGTTCTTTATATCGCCCACGGCCACTTGACCCCCGTGACCAGTATGTCCGACTGTCTCCTCACCCTGTAATAATAAATATTTCTTGAAATGTACTGGTGCACTGTACAGGTGGCATCAAAATATAAAAATTATTACTGAAAAAAAAAAAAAAAAAAAAATACACAAAATTTGAATACCTTATATAGTGTGGAGCATTATTTACAATTATAACATCGCGAACAGCGGACAGGGCTTTTTCTCCCTAAATTATCAACGGATCCAAAGCTCATCTTATTGAGATTTTTTGTGTGTGGGTATGGTCTAGTTACCCTCCCCATCAAAATAGACCACATGGGCGAGCAACTTATTGTGATAACCGGGCGGCATTTTTTAAATACTCTTTTCAGATACATCACTCGAATCCCTTTGACGCTAACGGATTTTATACTTGATGGTATTAGGAAAAGGATCATACACATTCAACTGTCCAATAACAAAATGTATTGGATACTAGTGTCCAATACAGGAAGTGCATGTTTATTGGATGGTTTAGTGGTTCCTTTCAAAAGAAGCGACTTTATCGAAAAATAACTGGTGTAAAATAATGTGCAAATCAACAAATTATTTCCGGAACTTAAACTTAAGATATGATATAATTCTACGCAATAGTCGTTTGTTGTTGTTGTTTTCGCTTACCCATGGGTTCTTTCTATATAAAGTTCCAAGTCCAATTTCAGAGACCTCTCCCGTATTCATGACAGCGTCTGACCCTCTAACTATTGGTTTAGACAATCTATTTATAGATTGTTTAGACAATAACTGGTTCCCGTCATGTGCTCCTCCGTTTGCTATAATGCCATACATCTTAGCCAATCCTCGTGCAGTTCCCGTACCAGTTAATGAAGACACGGTCACTTCTCTGATGTAAGGGTTATTCAAAACATCAGTTCTCTGAAAACATTTATTTATTTATTCATTTATTCTTTTAATGTATTTATAAGAAATAATTTGAAAATTGCACGTTTGTCCTGTCTTTATCCCGATCTAGATGAAAAGCATTGCAACGCTTTTTAATTTTGTGTCGATTTTTTTCACAATAAAAAATAAATATTCTGGAAAAACGAAATGAGTGAATGATCTGAAATTTTGCACATAAATGTTTTGTATAGATCTGCATAAAATGGAACATCAATCTCGAAAAATTATTTCCAATCCCGTTGTGTCAAAAACCTTAGTGGAGTCCCTTTAAGGTCTTATTAAGAAAATTGAATCATTTGTAAAGTGAGCAGGACACATGGCTCATACAAAGAAAAAGTTCGTACGTAAAATCGGCCCGACATCGCCCGTGTCTCTGGATTCTTGTTAACCATAACTCCACTATGGCCCTTTGTCATAGATCTTAAAAGTTATAATTATGAGCCGCGTCATGACAAAGCCAACGTAATAAGTTTGCGACCAGCATGGATCCAGACCAGACTGCGCATCCGCGCAGTCTGATCAGGATACATGCTGTTCGCTTACAAACACTATAACAAGTAGAGAAACTGATAACGAACAGCAAGGATCCTGATCAGACTGCGCGGAGGCGCAGGCTGGTCTGGATCCATGCTGGTCGCAAACCCACTATGTTGGTATTGTCATGATACGGCTCATATTTGTTATAATATGAAGTAACATGGTTGCGACACTTAAAATGAGTTAAAAGGTTAAGAGGCAGCTAGGTCCCTTCACCACTAGGAAATTGCTCCGCTTGATTTTATAGTTACTTGATCTGGCTGAATATCATTTAGAACACAATGACTTAAGTAAAACAAAAACAAAATTATTTAAAAGATATAGGGTCAAATATCTATTTATAATGCAAGAAATCTTACTTGTGCAAATTCTATCACAGGTGATACGGATCTTGCCATGAGGGAGTCCGGATGAAAAACAATATCATATATGGGCTTAAGATATCTTCTGTACTGAAAAGCATCGAATAACAACTGGAACTTTGAGCGTGGTACCAGTCGTGCCGTACGGTACCAGTCTTCTAATGGCACCTTCATCCGGAAATCTATATCTAAAAGATGGGTGAAATATGTTAAACAAATTGTGATGCTAAGGCTTAAATAAGTGAAAAAAGGTCTTACAACTTTATTGAAGCAAACGTTATATAGAACTACCTAAGGAGTTCACAAACCACGTTTAGTAATAGCCCATCCATTAATTCATTATATATTAAATGAAAGCATTTTATTTTGAGGTCAATAAGCACATAAAAAAGAGACCGACCTAATCTATTCAAGAAAAACTTTTTTTCAGTCATTTTAAAATGTTTATTATGAAGCTCTAGTAACCAATACAAAAGGATCGAGAAAACTGATAGAAAAAATACTCCAGTTTAATAAAACATAATCATTGTTATGTTTTTCTTTTTAAGATTCAAATGTCTTCAGGCGTAAAATTTATATCAAAATTTAACAACATGTAGTTGCATGCTGGGAAAATTGTCGTCTGCTGAAATTGTCGTCTGTTTTGAATCTTGAATTGCATCCTTTTTTTCCGAAAAAAAGAAGAAAAGGATAATTGTCAAACAGCTTCGATCATACCTGGAAAGGTTCTGAGCAAAGGATATTGTAATTTCCTCCAGGAGCCGAGGCTAAAGCTTAAGGCTTAATAACATAATAATAAGTTACCTAAAGGTTTAGAAATTTCCTCCATAAATATAGTATCGGTATCTCTATGTGCGGGATCAACGCGCTGAATTAGCTCGTCCACAAAAAGGCCAAATGTTAGAGCATGGTATCCGAACTTCTCCCCTACAACATAACACATTTATTATATACATAAAATCATCATACCATATTACATAAGTTTTCCTCCGGTAAAAATACATCCATGATCATCTGAAGAAAATCTGTATCTGTATTTAATACTGTGTTCAATAAATTCAATAAATTCAGTATTGAACCTACATATATTACTATCCTCGTCCAATAGGTACGAATAAATCATATTAAATACCCGTCTTGCTCTATGATAATGACCAATTTTTTCCATGTCCTAAACACATATATAAATTAGTGTTTGAAATTAAATGTTGTCCAATGATATCATTCCATTTATTAACTAATTGGCAACTGGCACATTTTCGGCTATTATACATAATGTCATTATCCGAAGACTGACGGAAACGGCCGAAAAGTTGCGACTGATTATTATTTTTTTTTTATGCGTTTATTTAAGGTCGCCGCCGGAAAGCCCATATGGGCGACCGTACACTCAAGTCGGATCATCCTAGAGCGTCCCGCCGAGATTTTTCGTCGATTTTTTTTTCCAGCTTTATTGGTGGAGGAAGATCCCAGGTGCCCCTCCGGGCATTATTTCAGGCACGAGCGGGCACCTGGGTAGAACCACCGACCTTCCGTGAGCCAGCTGGATGGCTTCCTCACATGAAAGATTTCGACCCGAGTGAGGATCGAACCTACAGTGGTGAGGGACCTGTGATCTCAAGTCAGTGACTTTAACCACTCGGCCACGGAGGCGACTGATTAAATGGTATTCAATCTATTTAAAGGCACATAAAGCCTCAGAAATGAATTATATTTTCTTTCTGTTAAAGGACAAAAATGTGTCTTATACTGTCGTATTTATTGATTTAGGACATGTCAGATGCTTATCACATGCAGAAAATGCGCTAAATGAGAAATAATGTGTGATAAATTTAGCAAAATGTAAACAAAGTAGTATTTTGACTTGCATAAAAAATACCAAATCATTATAAGCATACCTATTGGCAACATGCAAAAGAGGCAAAATCTGACTCAGGTATACGTCCGTCTACTTATGTCCAACAGTAACTTTTTGGAAATTGTAACAGGCCCGAGGGCAATGAATATAAAATCTCTAAAAAATATTTGTTTGTTAATTGAAAGCGTCATGGGCACTAATTTGTCATAAAATAATATCCCCTAAAATCAGCGTATCATACCCGCACTTTGTTAAGATTCTAAACATAATTTCAAACTCTAACTGGGTTAGTGTATGCTAAATCAGCATAAATTCCGTTAGAACTGCCCACAGATTTAATTTCATTAAAGGCCCATTATGCCTCAGAAATCAAATTTTTCAATCTTTTGGAAATGTAAATATGTGTTTAATTATTTATAAAAGTAGCACTGAACATGCAGTTATGTATTGTAAAGGTAGCAAAATGTAAACAAAGTAGTATTTTGACTTCCATACAAAATACTAATTCACTATAATTATACCAATTGCCAACAGAACTAAAGATGCAAAAGATAGTTCATGTATATAGCAAATGAGTATGCTTTTGAAAACTGTAACAAGATACCTAAAATAAACAGTTTTTGAGATATAAAAATGATAGCAATTCTGAGGCATAATGGGCCTTTAATGCTAACAAACGCTAACCTATACTTAGCATATACTTAGCACGAATAATTGTGTTGAATTCCTACCTACCTGCAGGCCAGGCAGTTTTTTGTTTAGCTAAAATGTCCTGCCATCTCTGTCTGTTGTTTTTGTAGTCATAAATGGATAATTGTTCGTCCAAATAGACCAATCCCCCCTGATAAATAGAAAATAATCGGAGAAGATTTTATAAAATACAAAATGTTTAACAGGGGAAAGAAGTCTGATTGGATAGACTAATCTATGGGCTAATTGATATCTAATTATCCAAGAAACATTTAAACTGCTGACTGTTGATGCATTTAAAGTGACGTCATATCTGACGGTAAGTAATTTGATTAAAGTGACGTCTTACGGTCATACCTGACGGTAAGTATTTCGATTAAAGTGACGTCATAACAGGAGTCTTATAACGAAATGAAAGTGACGTCATATGTGACGGTTAGTGACGTCATAACTGACGGTTAGTGACGTCATAAATGGTGTCTTAGAACGTAACGAAAATGACGTTATACCTGGTGGCTTATAAGCATCTCTACAGTAATGTTGTCTTTATCTGCTTGAGCAAATTCTGGCCAGTAATAGCTCACTGGTTTGGAGTAGTCTAAGGTTCCCCTAGTGGATTAGAAGATGAACAATAGACTAAAAACACATAATTATGTGAAGAAGCAAAATGATGTTTATAATCTTTTGTGAAGATAATTGTGTTATAGTTAAAGAATAGACCTAGATTCCTTATTACATTTCGTCTTTCCTATAGTGATTAAGTGCATTCTTGTGCTTCTACAGATGTTAATGCACGAAATAAATGCATTAATCCTCTAATCAGATGTATTGGATTTTAAGTTTTAAAGAAATTATACACTTCTAATGTCATTTCATATCTACAAAAATGTATGGAAAAACAATTTAGTGTTCATCCCGTCGAAGTTTCTAATTTCTGTAGAACAGCACGGATGAACACTAAATATTTGTATGCATGCTGTCTTAAATATTGTTAATTTGTCTTTCCTTATTGGTCTATTTAGTAATAACTTTTTACTTACATTTCTGCCATTTTAGCCATTATAATGGCTGCAACTCCTTTAGAGCACGAGAACACGAGCGTGGTCGTATCCTGTTTCCACGGTGTGTGGCTTTCTAAATCCGTGTAGCCACCCCATACATCAACCACGGGTTTTCCTTTATAATAGACAGCAAACGCCGCGCCACGTTCTTTCCCGCTCTCAACATTTCGTCTGCAGAAAAAAAAAAGAACCGGAAGTTACTTAGATGTAACAATATACTCGTATTCATTTTACATGATTAAAAATGTTAGGTTTCTATTTCGGATGCAACAATTTCTATAAAAGACGTTTGAGGTAAAATAGAGCGTTTTCAAATTATCAACAATAGCATTATAATAAGCTAGTATTTTTGTTTTGTTTTCATGCGAAATAAAAGGCTAGCGGACGTACTTTTATAGTAGTAGTTTCAGAATTAGATCTAAGAGTTTTACTTTTATACCCTTTGACTATGTACTCAATATCAGGGTCTATTTCACAAGAAGAAAACTGCAAATATATTGGGAAATTACACCAAAGGGTGATTTATTTTTCTGAAATGCGATATATTGTGTTACGATTTATACCATCTCTTATAAAACCGAACCTGCAATTTTCTTATAATGTTGTTGCTTTCGGTGTTATCGAGTGACCATTACTTACAATAAATGCTCATTTTTATGTGATGTTCTATTTTCAAGACAACACAGTTTAGATAATTTTATCATTAACAAAGTGTTCAGATTATCAAATTATAAAATGACATTCAAAATAAATCATTTTAATTTCTTCAACATTCGCTTTTATTAAAGATGACAACTGACCAGCATTCTTGTTAAGAATAAATCTGTGACAGTTATCAAAAGAACGTTACATCTCATGTTATCAGAGAAACTCCGCCTTTCGTTTAAACTTCCCCTGTCGTATAACATTAAACATACATTTTAGAATGTAAGCGTTAAATATTCTGATAAGATATTTCAGTCATGCAGCAAACGATCATAATATCCCAATGTAAACAAATATAAAATAAAATAATAATCAAAATAACTTACTTAAAAACGTCGGCAACTTTCTTAAACTCCGGATCCCAAGTACCGCCAAAGTTGACTGGCAAAGGTGTCTCAAATAAACGTGACAGTCTTGTGGCGATTACCAAAACCATGCATACTACTATAGACTGCTTAATAACCCCCATAGTTCATCAAATCACTGGGGTACTATTGAGTATTATTTAGTACATGTGATTGTTCAAATGGGGCGTGCGTACAAAGTTTGTTTCGTCCGATAATCTATGTCAGCGTTTAACTTTTCTATATTACTATATGCCTATGTTGAAACGTTATCTGCGTGTGTGCGAGTGTTTACACAATAAAATCTGGCAATATTGCAGGTATATGTAGAAATTTATCAGCATATTTATTTGCTGAATATAATTATAGTTTTGAAATTGTGGACAGCACGTACTTTCATAATGATTTTAAAGAAATTTTAAGCGTACACGTGGTTATTTCACTTCAAATTGTGAACGCTATCATGTATACAGTAAAATCTCTGAAAACCGGACCCTCTGAAAACCGGAATTTTATAAAAATTGGACAATTGTTGAAGTACATTTTATTCTAAAAATCGCTACTAATGTATTTATATATGCATTTGAAAACATAACTTATCTTATGCATTACCGCAGATATTATATTCTAAAATTATCTAATTTATCATGGATTATCTTATCAATTATAGATAAAATATAGTTATCTCATATCTAACATGAACAAACAAAACCTGTACATTTAAGTTGCCGCTGAGTAAATCGAAAACTTACATGTAAAACGAATCTAAGGTCCACCCCATTTTTAACTTGAGTTCAGTCCACGATAAAAAGGCATGGACATTCTCTATCTCTCACTTACTCAGATTGTCATATGACACATCCCTGTCATTTCTCCCACACTATAGGTTAGGCTACAATTTGGTGCGAATATCAAGAAATTATTAATGCAGTCACATAACGAAATTAGGCTATGTTTTCATCAAGTAATTATTAATGCTGTCACATAACGAAATTAGGCTACAATTTGGCGCGAATGTTCTGTGTTTTCAACAAGTAATTATTTATGCAGTCACATAACGAAATTAGGATGAATGTCATGACCTGTACTTAATTCTTAATTCTGTAGAAGAAGACGTTTTAAGGTATTTCTATTTTTAGCTATAGCGGCCCCTAAAATTAGTCAATTAGTTCTGTAGAAGATGTCTAAAGGCTTTTTTTCTATTTTTAGCCCTAGAGACCCCTAAAAGGGGCCAATCAAATTAAAATGAGCAAACTTGATAAAAGACTACCCAAGAATGCTACAGACAAAGTTTGGTGATCATCCATCTTTTAGTTCTGTAGTAGAAGATGTTTAAAGGTTTTTCTATTTTTAGCACTGCTGACCCCTAAAAGGGGCTAATTGAAATGACATGAGCAAATTTAAGTGTGACTGTCACAAGAATGCTACAGACCAAATTTTAGGTAAATCTGCCAAACAGTTTCAGAGAAGAAGACGATTGTTGACGCATGACGACGGACGCCGGAGTATCCCCCTTTGATACTAATAGCTCACCCTGAGCCTTCGGCTCTGGTGAGCTTAAAAGTAAATAAGAATTATATAGGCTTAATTTCTCACTCTATTATTGCTATTCTGTAATGTACCTTAACAGGGCCGGGAAGCACTCAAGATATCTATATTCCAGAACAACCCTATTAATAAACATAAATATTTTATATACACATGATTTAATAGTAATACTGGTTTTGGCCCAGTAAATCGATTGGTAACACTTTCAAAACATTCCATGTGTTTTATAGAGAAACTTGAATGCTTTCCTGTGTCAGTGCTATCCTGTGTTTCTATGTACCCTTTCCTATTTCTGGAAATAATGCTTTCAATGGAAAAAAATTTCTAGGTCAGGTCAGCACAAAAACGCAAAAGGATGAGTGTGATTACACACAAAACTGAATAAAACTGGCAAATAAAGACAATTACAAATGCCCAATTAAAATTCATGCTAATTACAAGTCAACATATCTTAGCACAAGATACAAGAGATTGTCTATTTTCAGCCCAACATATATACTCCATTTTCAGTATTTCTGTTACTGTATACCACAAACTACAATAATGATTACATGAATAGAACAAAACAAGAAGCATTATATTCATATAACAATTTATTCAAACTTTTATCAGGCAAAAATATACAGTTTTTATGCTCTTGCAGACTTCAGATTTCTTAACATATGGAGAAAAAAACACCTTTTTAGTCACTTCAAGAGTAAAACACAAATAAGATGCTTATTTTACATTCAATTTTTGCAAACATCCTTTAAAGTTGAGACTGAAAAAGAACTGGACAGCCGTTTATGAGAATGGCATGTTTCTCAAGGTTTAACAACGTTAAATACTTACACTTTAGCAACCAACACACTATTCATCTTAATACATATGTATTCGATAACAAACAAAGCAAAATTACATACATTATGTAGTGTTTTAATACAGAGAAAATATGATAAAGGGGCCTTAACTCTGTAAGTTTCTAAAATATTTAATCTCTAATTGTCCCCCCTGACGATCCAACCATATCCTTGTTATTTGAAGTGGTCCCTTCCATAGATTTATTCATACAGCTCTTTTTCATTTGTTAAGATTTCTCAAAAACTTTCACTTGTAGAGGTCCCATCCATTGCTTGATTCATTGATGTTTCTTCAGTAGATGTTTTATTTGAGGTTAATGTTTTATTTTTCTCTGACATTGGTTCAAAGTATTCCTCCTCGTAATGTCGTAATGGAAAATATTTTTCCAGATACCCTGAAAAATAAAACAATAACAACAAATTATGACAACAATTTTTGAAAAGTCATTAATGCTTTTAAAATCTTTTAGAATCACTGCACATTGTCTCAATAAACAATTGATTCAAGTATCACAAATTCAAACAGATACTGAGCGGCCTGTCATCTTTAAGACACACCCTTGAATCTGTTCCTCGAAAGGTTCTTTCCGGTACTGAACAATAATAGTAAAGTTTCTTGCTCAAGGAAACAACGGCTTCTCCCTGTCAGGGTTTGAACCCACACAGCCAACAATCCTTTATATAACTAGTCCTATGCGTTAACCACCCGGCCATGTTGCCACGTAGTAATTTGTTAGCATGAATGGTATGTAGGTGCCTGTTCACATTAAGAGCTCAAATTATTTAGCCATTATTTCTTTGAGCAAGAAACTTTACAATCATTGCTCAGTACTGGTTGTTTTCGAGGAATGGATTCAAGGGTGTATCTATAAGACAACAGTTTCTTACAAAATCAACATAAAATAAATTCTGTATAAATTAAATTTCTAAATGGATTATTCCAAACAGAAAACGTCCATACAAAACAGTTAAAAAATTCAATTACCATAATCTTGAGCCTTTGCGACCTCAAGCTGCAATTTTTTCATCTGTTTTTTGCAGAGACCAACTTGTCGTATATTACGTGGTTCTAGTGAATCCTCAAATATAAACTGCTTTAATAACTTCACATTCTGAAAAGTAGATTTCATACATAAAATATTTTAAAAGGTATCTTTAACGTAATGAAGTAACACAGTCCACTCCACTTAGAATGAGATTTCTTCTATTTCTTTTTATTTGGTTGGGTTTTACATTGCACCAACACAGACTAAATCTATCAGGTGTTCTGAAATGTATTTTTGAGTGTACTTAGTAATAATGTCTACTCCACTAAGGTCAGATGGTGTGACTTTTCCTTCTACTTGAATTGTTTGTTTTTATTAAAAAAAAAAACAAGCGACCATTCACATTTTTTTACTAAAATAAATAATATCATCGCCATTTAACTTTGATTGTCAAACTTATTTTTCAGCTCAAGACTTCTTGTACTTTATGAGATATTCGACTAAAATGAGACTACCAGCGGGGAAAACAGATTTTAATATCAAAGTTAATATTAAGAAAATTTCATTTACACTTGTTTTTAAGCATAAAATAAAAAGAAAATTTGTTTGTTGTGTAAGATGTAATTTTATTTCATCAAGTGAATTTTAAAAACAGTATTCTCACTTGTGGCGTAATACAAATGTATTGTTTTTAACAAGAGCGATCAGTAATCACATGTGTCGCCTCATGATGGCCAATTTCATGTTGGGACAAATTTTGTGACAGACGGACAGACAGACGGACAGTGCACAACTAGACTAACCACTTTTTACTGATCATTCCTGTAAAATTTGGATAAAATTGCACCAGTAGTTTATGAGGAGTAGTCCGGACAAGCTTTTGTGTATCTGGCAACACACAGAAAAAAACACCTTTTTATCAAAGGGCCATAACTCGGCCAAAAATCATTCAAACCGGAAAACCCGTGCAATATGCGCAAGGACTTGAGCTACAGATCAATCCTGTAAAGTTTCATTGAAATTGCATAAGTGGTATAAGAGAAGTAGTCTGGACAAATTTTAAAAATAAAAATTATTAAAGGGCCATAACTCAAACAAAAATCATTGAACCGGAAAATGCTGACAATATGCACAACTAGACTTGGTACTGATCATTCCTGTAAAGTTGGATGAAATTGCACCAGTAGTTTATGAGGAGTAGTCCGGACAAGCTTTTGTGTATCTGGCAACACACAGAAAAAGAAACCTTTTTATCAAAGGGCCATAACTCGGCCAAAAATCATTCAACCGGAAAACCCGTGCAATATGCGCAAGGACTTGAGCTACAGATCAATCCTGTAAAGTTTCATTGAAATTGCATTAGTGGTATAAGAGAAGTAGTCCGGACAAACTTTAAAATTAAAAATTATTAAAGGGCCATAACTCTGACAAAAATCATTGAACCGGAAAATCCTGACAATATGCACAACTAGACTTGGTACTGATCATTCCTGTAAAGTTTGGATGAAATTGCACCAGTAGTTTATGAGGAGTAGTCCGGACAAGTTTTGTGACGGACGGACGGACAGACGGACAGACAGACAGACGGACAGACGGACAGACGGACAGACAGACGACGGAGAAGTGATCCCTATATGTCGCCACTACTCCGTAGAGGCGACACAAAAATCACTCGATGAAATAAAATTTCATCTTACACACAAACAAAAAAATATCCTCTATGTTTACATTTTGCTTCTTTAATGACAAACTATTTCACATTTAGCCCTATAAAAGATGTAGATAACATATTATCTATGTCTCTTGCCCTACTTTCTTCAGGTTACAAGCATTTAACTCGCTATAAAACCACTATTTAAACGTTCTTAAACTCAAATATGCACTACTTCAAAAGAAGTTAAAATTTATTCACTTCTGAAGCATAATGTGCCTTTAAAGAAAAGCTGAAGAAAGATACAAACCCTGTAGTCAAAAACCAGGTAATCGTCCCTGCATATCGGACATGCACTGCCTGTAGTTATAACCCCAGACCTCTGAAAAAAATAAAAGAAACCAATGAAAATGTATAATGCATAGTACTGGTACATTGTGATTCTTGTTTTTATTTAAAGTTTTAAAAAATGCAAAATGACCAATAAATATAAAGTATTGCAACACTTATCAATAAAACCAGGCTAAAAATCATGCAAAAAAATTGACTGTCAAGTTAACTCTTGTGCATAATTCTTTATCATCTTTCACAAAATTTTTCATTTTAAGTGCATTACTTGATCTATGCAAAGATTTTAAATATTATGCCTCTAGTTTTTTTTCATCAGTGGAGCTCCTTTAAAGGATACAAAGAGACAGTCTGTATTTAACAAAACAAACATGTTCATGATTATCTGACTATCTTATGAAATACAGTAAACACCCTGCAATTAAGACCACCATCGGGACTGGACCAAAGTGGTCTTAATTGCGGGATGGTCTTAATTGTGGATATTCTCATCATTGCTTACACACTTGAGAATGGTCTAAAACCTAAAAAAACAAACCAATGTTATAGATCGATTTGTTGATCACTTCTCCCTAATTTTCAAAACTTTCCTCTATTTTTCCTGAAGGTAGAGGTCAGGGAGGTCACTTCTCCGTCCAAGGTAGTCCTTGAATTATAATAACATGTACATGATTATCAAAGCAAATACATACTATGCAAGTCGTTCTGATCGGAGGGTAAAGATTTCCTTTGGTATTCTTCCTGTACGGTACCCAAACAGGTTCGTCTTTATAAACATCCCTGTATGCTGCAAATTTTAAGGAAAAGAATCATTAAATCTCTATGTAAACCTTAAAGTTGAGAAATTTGTTTGCTGCTGACTTTACATATATTATTTTGAGAACTCTGTGCTTGAAAAATTACAGTTTGCTTTTTTACTGTGCTGCATGACAGAGTTTTTATTGAAACATTCTTTTTTTCACATCACTTTCTGTTTAGGGTATAGTTAAACAGACATTGCGTCATTTGTTATTTTATAAACAACATTAATTTCTGAAGAAGACTAAATGTCAGAAAACTAAGAAAAGTGTTTGTTTTTATTAAACATATTATTATCATTAACTAAAAATTTCTTAAAAGAGACAAAAGGGATATATTCAAACATGTTATATCTTTTTTCATATAAGTTACTGAGTTATTGGGTCACACTAATGTTGTTTTGGGTTAACTCATTACAATTAGGGATTAAATGATGATAGATATATCGAAAAAATTGATTGTTTTATAGGACAGGTGGGTTGAGATGTAATTAATAATAATTTATATACAGTTAATTTAAATTTCTTGTGTGGTTGGTCCCTGATAGTTTGTTCCAGAATATGAGATCATTACATAATTTTCATAGATTGATAAATTTATTTGATTAAAATATTTTATCTCTCAAGGATAGGCAGTAGCATTTCTTTTAAACTAGGTAATTTCAGTTGCATAAAGATAGTATATATAGAATATAAATGGAATTCTTATAAATATTAAAGGCATGATATCGATGGCTGAACCGCAACACTGGTCTAACTGATTTTTACAAAAAAAATTTCAAGGAGGCTATAAACTTAATTAATTCTATAAATTTGGACATTTTTTGTTATTATTTTTAGATTTTTATATCCATATAAGTAAAAATTTTAGTTAAAAAGGAGTTTTTCATAAATAAAATTTGTTAAATAAAAAAGATAATTTGAAAAGATATGAGTTTAGATCAAGTTTTCCGATTTATAAATAACCAAATTTTCAATGGCATAAGTTTCAAGCAAAACTGGTCTCTAACTTGACTTAGCCCTTATGTTGGCATTTACAAAATTGGGTTCAATAAGGCCATAAAGAATATCAATAAGTGCTATGTTTGAAAAAATAGGATGATATAATAGAAAAAAAGCTGTAATACTATAACCATATTATAGATTATTTTAAAAGAAACAACTTTTATAAGACCGCAATTGTTATTTATACAAATTGACAACTTTTGCATAAATAACATACTAGAAATCAGACAATCTTAAAAGTCATTTGTTTTATCACATAAAAATATTTTAGAAAAAAAATTCTAATTATAAAGTTTCAGTTCAGAATGAATGTTTTGTAGACAAGATAAGATTTTTTACATTAAGCAGAATTCAATGTAACATTAAAATTTAAGCACATACTCATAACTGAAAAATAGAAGCATGTATATAAAACTTGCAATTCTAAAAACACAGGCAATATTATTCAAAATGAAACTAATTTTTGCCTATTGGATCTTCATTTATATTTTCAAGTTTATTTATGTAGTCAGAATTTAAAGAAAAATGTTAACTTTAGGAACATTTTGCATAAACTAAAGTTGCCATAGAAAAAACTTTTGCCTCTCTTTGTAATTAAACTTGGCATGGCACTTGTATCTATAGCTTTGTCCACCTTACTTTCTCATCATCCGTTATACTCAATTTTTTGTCAGATTTTTAAACATATTTTTTCCCATATTCCTATTACAGTAATTCATTACATTTATCTTTTATCTATCATCATTCTTACTTTTTTATCTAACATTTTCCCCATTTAATAACTATTTTCTATATTACATAAAGTATCATTTTAACCATTCTCCACTTGCCAGCACTCATCACCAGCATAATGATATCAAAAACCGTAATTTCACCTTCAAAATGATTAACAGCATTTTTATCACCATCATCATCCTCGGCTCTTATATAAACAGCATTCAGTCTCTACTAGCCCATATTAACCAAAATTACTATTCTGAATTCTTATCTCACCACCACTATCTTCCTTACCACCTATATAAGCAGCATTGCCACCAAATTAGACCTCACTACATCAATATTGTCATCAATCACACTTTTATCATCAGCATTGTCATCCTCAGCATATTTCCCTCTAACTATAATTATATCACCAATATTGTCCCCACTGCCCTTATAATACCAACATTGTCCTCACTATTAACTATAATATCACCAGTAATGTCCCCACTAACCCTTATAATACCAGTATTGCCCCAACTAACAATAATATCACTGTCCCAACTATGATATCACCAGCATTGTCCCCACAAGTTATAATATTACTAGAATTGTCCACTAACTATAATATCACCAGCATTGTCCCAACTAACCCTCATATCACCAGCATTGTCCCCATTTACTATGATATCACCAGCATTGTCCCCATTTACTATGATATCACCAGCATTGTCCCCATTTACTATGATATCACCAGCATTGTCCCAACTAGCCCTCATATCACCAGCAGTATCCCCATTTACTATGATATCACCAGCATTGGCACAACTTACCGTCATATCACCAGCATTATCCCCATTTACTATGATATCACCAGCATTGTCCCAACTAACCCTCATATCACCAGCAGTATCCCCATTTCCTATGATATCACCAGCATTGTCCCAACTAACCCCTCATATCATCAGTATTATCCCCATTTACTATGATATCACCAGCATTGTCCCAGATAACCCTCATATCATCAGTATTATCCACATTTACTATGATATCACCAGCATTGTCCCAGCTAACCCTCAAATCACCAGCATTGTCCCCATTTACTATGATATCACCAGCATTGTCCCCATTAACCCTGATATCACCAGCATTGTCCCAACTTACCCTCATATCACCAGCATTATCCCCATTTACTATGATATCACCAGCATTGTCCCAACTTACCCTCATATCACCAGCAGTATCCCCATTTACTATGATATCACCAGCATTGTCCCAACTTACCCTCATATCACCAGCATTATCCCCATTTACTATGATATCACCAGCATTGTCCCAACTAACCCTCATATCACCAGCAGTATCCCCATTTACTATGATATCACCAGCATTGTCCCAACTTACCCTCATATCACCAGCAGTATCCCCATTTACTATGATATCACCAGCATTGTCCCCATTTACTATGATATCACCAGCATTGTCCCCATTTACTATGATATCACCAGCATTGTCCCCATTTACTATGATATCACCAGCATTGTCCCAACTAGCCCTCATATCACCAGCATTATTCTACATTTACTATGATATCACCAGCATTGTCCCAATTTACTATCATATCACCAGCATTATCCCATCTATGATTTCGCAAGCATTGTCTCCACTATTACCCTCTTTGTCAGCCTTGGCCCCACTAAATATAATATATCACAAGCATTGACCCCACTTTTTTCTTAAACATTTCTTTTCTTGTTGGGTTTTATGTCGCACTTACACAGTAGAGGTCATATGGCAATACTCCAGCATTCCCAGTGGAGGAAGACCTCAAGTACCCAAGTTCTGCTGCTTCATGTTTGTAACATCCGAGGTTACCTTATAAGGAATTTACTTAACCTACAAGGAATTTACACCGGCTGCCAGTACAGACCAGAATATCTAACTTGAGGGTAATTTTTATGGCGGTAAAGAGACTGCAGACTGCAGAGTTTCCACTACACAGTTACCCTAGAGCTAGATATTCCTGTCTGTGACAACAGCTTGTGTTTGATTTTTTTTCTCGCAATATTACATATTAGTGATATTTCGTAAAGAAATGACAATAACTTATACTTTCATTTAGCACTTTTCTCGTATAGTAGCATATGACTCTACAACTTCATTTGTTTTGGCAAAATGATGTCATCTTTAGAAAGCAATTCATTCATAAAAGGCGAATGACTTCATTTAAAAACATTGACTTGTCTTACATGGGCGATGTTAGACAGGCTTTTCTTGCATAGCAGACTGGCGTTTCCGTGAGTTTTACCCATGCCGGAAATTTCATCTGGCATGGGGGGTGCCAGATGAGTCGCGTGCCAAACAACAATGTCATTTTAGCGCACTTTATGAATGAACCGCGTTAAAATGACGTTGTTTTAGAAGGGAAATAATTATGTGCATAGGATGACGTCATTTCGCCGTTGTTATTTAAGTTGTAAGTTCATACGCTATTGTAAGAAAATAGTTATGAATGAAATTACTTTAATTTCCATGAACGTATATCATATTGAGATAAACAATTTTAAATATGAAATAATATGGCAGAATATGCAAGAAAAATTATCTGACATATGTTTGCGGTTCAGACCGGAATATCCGTCCCTCGGGAACCCGCCCATGGGCGGGGTCCCCTCGGGACGGATATTCCGGTCCGAACCGCAACATATGACAGATATTATTATTCTAGCACCGGTGTAAACAGTAGATAATCCTATCTGATATGCAAGAACAAATCTTTCCTGTTTCAGCGACATTATTCTGAGGACCTCAATTGTGTTGGTGCGCTTTAAAACCAACCAAACCAAAAGTTTTATTTTAATGATTACAAGCCTTGTTCATACAGATACTTAAAGAAACTGCACTGTGGTCCAAAAGCATAAAAAACTTAAGATTTGAATTTATGAAATGAATCAACTCGTGCCACATAAACAAAAAGATACACAAGAGATACAAAGAAATTATACTTGACATGAAATTAAAAATTTTATCATTGTTCTATTAGAATCTAATTTGAGTTTAAAGCTGCATTAATATGCTTTTCAATATCGGGTAATTTTTTTAGTTCACATTATTGCTCTGAAAAAAACTTAGCAAACAATCTGAAAGTTTTAACACCACAAGTTATTTGTCCAGACCGTCATCAAATTGGGGTGTACATAAATCTCGAAAATATATTTTAAGTCCCATGATGCCAAAATGGGAGTCCCTTTAAGAATTAGGAGCAAATTGTATTAAATAATTATAAAATCTTGAAATTTTAAAGGGTGGGATATCTTGTTTCATCAGTATTAATAGATCACTATGATTAAAAACAACGACAACAAAAAACAACACATATTGTCTTGTAAATAATTTTCATCAACAGTAAATTATATGATTTGAATATTATGATAAATCTTTTTGAAAGGTTAATTTACTATTATTTTTTATTTCAATCTTATATGACTATGTAAAGATAATATAGCAAATTTAAACTTATTAATGTTCCTTGAAAACAAAATAGAATTAATTAAGAGCCTTGAATTTACAATTCTGCAATTTTGGCAATAAAAATGGGTAAAATGTAGAAATAAGTATTTATAAATATGCCAGACCTAACTTAATATCTGCAAATATAACAATACTGATTTTTCTTGTATTGAAATTTAACAGCAACACTGTGTTAACTAGAGTTAGTTCAGTGTTATCATCCAATAAGTAAATTTCCATTAATGCAACACAGTTCTAACTTGAGTTAGCTCTCTGTTGCATTTAAGTTATAATCACATTTGAGATAGAGCAAAATGCCAAGTGGTAAATAAAACCCATAAAATTTCACAAATATTTCTAATATTTTATTTACTGATGTATTTCATGCAAATAGACTAAAAAATGCAAAAAAGTCATTTTTGAAAAAAAATCAAGTTAGACCAGTGTTGCGTTCAGCCATCGATATGTACATGTATATATTTACTTTTTTATTGTAAATGCATCAATTATATAATCAATGATTGATCGAAAAGGGATGTTTGATTTTTTACACTGATCAATTATGATTTTTGTCAGATTAAGAAACCCTACATAATATATGACATTACTTAGGGACTCCCTATATCAAGTGCATTTTGGGAACACAACACCTCATCCCCCCCCCCCCCCCACACACTAAAAGTCAAGGAAAACCCTGTTGCCTGTTCCAAGATGATCTACTGTAATTTACATGTTCTATCCACTTGGAAAAACAAATTGCACGAGTAGATATTGCCAACCACTATGGCCTGAATGGCTTGTAGTTTTTTGGACCTAAATTCTTTGACTGTTAAATCAGCCACGTCACGACAAAACCAACATAATGGGTTTGCGCCCAGCATGGATCCAGACCAGCCTGCGCATCCGCGCAGTCTGATCAGGATCCATACTGTTTGCTTACATACTCTATATCAAGTAGAGAAACTGATAGCGAACAGCATGGTGCGCTGGTCTGGATCCATGCTGGTCGCAAACGCATTATGTTGGATTTGTTGTGACGCGGCTCAAATTGTATAAAGGTTTATGAACAGTGAGATACCTTCACTCTCCAAGTAACGAACACTGTCTATTGGATCGATATGCCGTGGCTTATAACCGCTACGTCCTTCCCGTGCAGGGTCATCCGAATATTTGTATTTGTATTTTTTCTTCGTTTCTGTATCTTTTAATTTACAAACTGTACACGATATCTGTCTAACCAATGATGTTGTTCTACATGTGAATGGCTGAAAAATGTAATATCTTTTGAAATTTTCATTAGATATACATTAGCTAATGTTTCTTGTAATATGTAAACCGACTTAAAATAAAGTTTCTTGTATCTTGTATATGTGCTGTACTTATTCTGTAGTGTCAGTGAAACATACATGTAACGGTGAAATATATTTTTATAAATTCATTGTGAAATTATCAAAATATAGTATTTCACTGTACCCATATTATTTCTGTCAGTGGTTGAATATTATATACTAGTAATATAACAATTATAATTTATCACATAACTCATAGCAAAGGAGTGCAATGAAGCAATTTATAAAAACAATATGCAACTCGTGAAAATATTGCATCTGCTGTTCACTCAGTGAAATATATTTCTATTTTATATGTAAAACAAATAAATTTTCTTTTTATTTCAAGCTTTATAAGTGATTTTTAAGTGTTTTTTACTGATTTTGCCACATAATGTCTCGCATCCTCCTTTGTGGCATCATCAAAATTTAAAACAGAAAAAAATAAATTTTGATTTTTGTTTTATTGTCGATAACAATACAACAAAAAAAAAAATAGGATCTATTTTAAATTTTTTAATATATTGATGTTGCTTTACATGAATAACAAGATTAAACATATTTTAGGTCAAATTAATGCAAGTAGCACCTTTGGTTGACAACAGTCACTTACAGACTGACCGTACACATAAAAAATAGCATACAGGATTCAATGGAGTAGATTTTAAGGGAGTCATTTTTCTTCTTTTTTTTTCTTGAACCTTGCAGTTGTGTCAGTCTTTATTGACAATTTTCTTGAATATTTGAGATTTTCTGCAATTAATTCAGGAAATTTTGAATTAACCCAGTGATTAAGATTTTCAGGGATCCCAATGGAATCCCCTGCTAGGAATCACAGGGAGTCCTTAAGACTTTTGGGGATCCTCGGAATCCTAGGCATCAATTAATGTCGAACCCTGGTTTGTTTTATTCACAACACTGCTATAAAACAGGCACTATTGCACATTTATATTAAAAATTTGATATCTAATCACATAGATGTGTGAACAAGACAAAATCTAAGTGTCAGTTTGGCAGTAACCCAACCCAGTAGGTACAGTTTTCATTCCTATTCACTTTCAACTGTGTCTTATCAAAATGTGACCTTGTAAACGTTGGGGATTCCGTCCTCTTAGCACACATGTGCAAAAATTTGAGACCTGTCAAAGGTTTTTTTATTATCAATTTGGTGATGGAAATATAGCTTTTTAAATTTAATAACTCGCATGCCAGTACAGACTGTCATTATAGTGAGCTCGAAGAACTGGCTTGAATGCCCTGCTTGCAAAGCGAGCTTTAAGGTAACGTGAGTACCTGCTAGATAGTGAAAGTTTTGAAAACTTTCGTCTGAAACCGGAAATTGACACATCGCAACTTGTCGAATTACAAGATAACAATAAAAGCCGAGGTATTCTGATTGAAAATAGATAGGAAGACTGGTGTCCTGCGCACTTTTATAGGAACCATAAATTTTATAGGACAGGGAACAAGATCAAACGGAAGCAGTGTATGAAACACCGAAGGACAGTTTTAAGACGGAAAATCTAAAATTAAAATGAACGATTATTTTATACTATTTCACGGTAAAAGTAAACCGAGCTCACTTTGAGGCTTTGCCTTTTTCATATTAATTATTAAAAAAGAAAGCAGTGATAAAGTAAAAGGGAGATTTGCATACTTTCTATTATCCGAATTATACAGAAAAATGCTATATCCGAATACTAATACACTTTTTCTAGCATGTTCACTTACAATAACCTTCATTTGGTGCGAAATAACATTTTGACAACTTTGTACTGTTGACAATCGTGAGAGTAATCTTCTCGCTAACATTTCGTATGTATATTTGTGGCTGTTTCAAGATAGTTTACTTTCAATGTGATGTTTTGTTTCGTTGTTGTTGTTATATTGTTGATCCCCCTTACTTAAAATGGACCCGTCCAAATTAACTACCAAAAAGAATTCTACAGGTTACATTTTGTATATTCTGTCCCCATTGTGTACACCGGTCTTACTGATATGTCGATATTTGAGAAAAAAAGTAAAAACAGAAATGTTCCTTATTTTTTTTTCTAATATAAGGTGCATTATAGTAAATAATGACATGACAATGGTGGTTTGCGGTACTGTATACGAGTATATATACGTTATTTAATTAAAATTATTGACATAGGGTTTTTGTTCATTTAAATATTATATGTGAAGTGTTATATATTCGATGCAGGAAATAATTACATTCAAATGCTTCGCATTTTAGGAAAAGGTCATTCCAGTGTTGAGATGTTTCTTCTCTTTTTTTTCAATTTAAGTCATTTTAAAATCTGCGGTTGCTTTTTTAACTTCCATTTTTGGAACCTGAAACAGGACAGCCAGAGAATGCTGTATATTTCTTTTCCTAATTTTTTTCTAAATTTCCTTTTTTTATTTTTTATCATACTGCACCTTTCTAACGTCGCTTTTCGTTGTATATTCGTGACTTTTCTAATGTACTGTATATAGTCTTATATATACGGCTGCTATTAGTTTATGAAGAATTCTCACTTTTTTTCTCTCTAAAAAAGGAAGTTTGCTGTATTATAAATATTCGTAATAAATATTCCTGGCAGTTAATATGACTGTATATAAACGGTTGTTTGGAAATAGAACCCGAGCCATTAACTGATGAAAGCTGCCTTGTTCAGCATTAGTCAAATGTCATATTGACCAATCAAGCTCCATTTGGTATGATAGTCTAAATCAAAACCTGAGAAATAAACTACAAATAGTTCAAAACAAAGTCATTAAATTGATTAAAGATTACATCCAAGATCTAGTTAAAATCCTTTAAATTTTACAAACGTTGAATATTGAAAATAGAGTAAAACAACTAAGACTTAATCATTATATGCATAAGGTGACATCAAACTTTGTTCGGATATCTGATATATACAAATACAACTCTAGATCAAATAAGTTAAGCTTTTCCATTTCTCAATGTAGTAAGACATGTATATGTCCTTTTTTGGCATAGTTTGCCAGATAATGTGAAATGTATAACAAAGAAAAAATAAGAACCCCTAAAGAAAATCGATCCAACACGCAAAAATGTTGCAAACTCGGTTTGATTAAGCCTGTTCATTACATGTATTTTAGAAATCCTACCATTAATTCGTAGTGTTACTATTTATTTATCCTTTTTCGTTAAAATAAGTTCCTCTGGTTTCATCCTGTTTCTTTCTGGAAATAAGTTTGACTGATATCATTTTTTACATTAATGTATAATAATAATAATTATTCTTTTTTTTCTAGCTGTATAAATATTGTGATTTTTAAGTGATTTAGTCTTTCCATGAAACTGAATGCAGCATGCATTAAATGAACTATTTAATTACGTTATATAATTACAGGATTTAGTAAAGATTTTTTCTGATAAATCAACTCTTTAAAACTCGATCGTGTGCTTGTGTGTATATTTCATTATGCATAATCATGCTCATGTTAATTATATAAATTTGTGTTAGATATGTAATGTACAAATAAACATTAACAATGTTATAAAAGTTTCTGTTAAGTCTCTTATTATGGTGGCATATAAATTTATGCAGATAAACATTTAATCATCACGATAATTATGTTACCAACAAGTTAGTTTTCCTGTTCAGAAGAAGAGGCAGGTGTCCTTGTAGGTGATTTTCTTGTTGCTCTGTCTTCCTTTAAGTCATCGGGTACTTTGGTAATGGTCATTAGGCTATACATTTTCCTACATATTTAGACAATCTTTTGTGTTTTATTTATTTCGTCTAATGTAACCATGACCATTGTTAGAATTTCACTTGGCGGAGATTAATTTTATTTACACTTTCGTGTCATTCAGGAACATATTCGGACTAAGAGTAAGGTTTTGGCGCGCCTAAAACCGGTTTAAACTCCCCAGTGGTTTAACTATCACTGACCGTTCCAAGGCAGTACCCCTCTTTGTTCCTCACGCGTTTTTCATGTCTGTATTGTTACTTGTTTTTGAATGTTTACATGTTTTGTGATGTCTGTCTTGTTTGATTGTCGTTTACGGTGGGTATTTCCTCACCTCCCCCCTCCCATTTTTTACCTCCTCCCCTTTTCACCCTTACAGCCCTTATCCCTTTAATTCCCTTATGGGCCCGTTTAATTTTATATTATTTCACACATTATATGTCCCTATCCTTTCGCCGCCCATATGTTCACTCCAAGTTTATGTTTGGTGTCTTCTGGATGCCCTACTTGGTTGCGTTGGGGGCTGCGTCCTGAAAACGTTGCCTTTACTTTGTTGATCTTTATTCTTGTTTTTTTTTAACTCGCATTATTATGTTAAAATTTACTGGGGCTGACAATGGAGGAGCAAGCTGGGCCGGTAAAGGGTGTTTCAAACATTCTATGTATAAGACCCTGGTCAAGGTGTGTGGATGACTTAAGTAACAAGATATGTTTTTAATTACTAGATAATGCAGGATATTTCATACAAGTTCCATAAGTTTATTACCCATTAATATCTAACATATTTCTTGATTATCACAATAAACAGTAAAAAGCTTTATAATATCTTTTATTGCTGAAAAATGATAAACTTATCAAAAATAGTGGTGGCACATAGCTATAGTAAAAGTAATCACAAGGCAACATTTTAAATCGCCATTTTCAGCCAGTTTTTACCCCAATTACGGTACAATGTAATATATTAAAACTTAGCCATCTATGCTTGATGGCGACAAAAAAAAACTGCATAGAAACTAATTTAAGTATCTCTACCCTAGAATCCCCTAAATTCTGTATTAGTGTAAGTGGCGTCCAGAAACATTCAACCACTTTACTGACTGGCAAAGCTTGTAGCGCTTACAATTTGAAACCAATAGTCTTGAAAAATTTAAAAATACTAATCGCTCTCCTGATCACAAAATGTTTCCAAATGCCGAAAGATACAATTTAAGTATTATTCCCCCCGACTTAACCAAGGCAAACGTCACCCCTCCCCACTTTTAAAAAATGTGGATAAAAATTATCCGGCAAACTACAGGTCCAAATTTCTTTTAATGTTATGGACTACATTAATTGTTGCATCAAACATTACACAGCAAGTTCAGGTCAACAATATTTTATTTAACCTCAGGTTAAAATGTTTTCATGAAACACAACTTTAAGGACTTGTTGAGGATCCATCAATGAACTTTTAATTCAAGGTCAACAAAAATATTGAATAATTATCGTTTTTTCAAAAACCTTTGATAAGATAAATCATTTAAAATTACTCTACAAATTTCACCACAATGGTATCCAATACTTGCACGCTACAATGGGTAAAAGCTGTTCCCATATCGCCTACAGTCTGTCTTAGTCAATGATGAAATATAAGATTTATCTATCTTCCATTAATGTTAACCCCCTCATGGGAACGTAGACATGACTCACTTCAGAGACAACTACAAGGGATTCCGGGAATCAGCCCCTAGCTCTTATTTAAAAGAATGTTAATACAGGAGTTACACGGGGCTCTGTCTTCTTCTTTCCTTAAGCTTCATCTATATCGCAAGTGAAGACCAACTTAAGTACCATTTAAATAACAGATAATCATCTTTTTCTCTATTTATAGCTTCCGGTTTAGTAATTAGTAAGATAAGTAATACAGTATACGTGTATGTAATCGGTCTTATTTGAAATATTTCCCCGTTCCCGACCTGATTTGGATTTTAGCACCGGATTGATGTTCTTGAACTTGACACATTGTACACTTATGTGTGTGACTAGTGTTTTTCTTAGCGATATGCTTTGTATATTTTCTGTAAACTGTTGGTATAATATTTTTCTTTTTGTAAGTTAAGAAGAGCTCATTACATACAGAACGCCCCTGCGCTGCAAATGGATATAGCCAAAAGTTCGAAAGGAATTTAATACATATATTTCCGTATAATTTGCAAAAGAATTTTAACTCGTGCTTTAATTTAAATCTGATATATTAAATGTTTCTTTGGGCATCTTTGAAATAAATATTAATTTCGTTATTGAACTGATGAATCAAAGAAGCGATCGTTTAAATATGTGTCTTTCATTTTCATTTAATTTGTTTCCGTATCATTTGATCCTTTCGATTTCCGATGCTAACTCTTATGTGACGTCATTATCTCGCCCTTGCATGCATCGAATTAAACATACACAAAAACATTAAAAAATTGCCTTAAAAAATCTGATATATCCATTAAATTTATGTCATTATTGTTGACAATGAACCACTTTATTAATCTGCAGTGATGTTAAAAGCGGATATTCAATAATAGTGATGTTATTCGTGATTTTCTCTTGGTCGTTAACTAAGTCAAAGATGGCCGCGGTCGATTGTTGAAAACTAGACTAGAGCTTCTGTTGTAATAAAAAACTTGTGATTTATTTTTGCCAGATATAAAGGATTTATTTATTATGAGACATAACGTAAGCATAACATATTTGTTTATCAAACCTCTACATAGATAGGAATTTTATTTACTACAGACTGTTGCTTATATGTCTCGAGAAAAGAACGCAGATTTCTATAAATCGCGCATGCGTAATCGTATTATGATGGCACTTGACCACAGTTGGTTGTAACTTGTATATTTTTAACATATAGCTAATAATGTTTTGTTGCGCTGTAAGTTGTTAACAGTAAAGGGATGTTCATAACTTTAAGTTTTATTCCATTGATTTCTGATTTATAGCAATTTATTAATGCCCCAGTTGAATGATGAGCAGTTTTTAACTTGTGCATTATGTAATAGTTATAGTATATGAAATCGCAATGGCATAATGTTTTCTTTTTTGTATAGAAACAAATAAATAAATTAATCGTTAGCTACATTACAGTTATTTATCAATAGGCAGTTTTTCAAGTTGTTTTCGCTGCCGCAAAAAAATATACAAAAGACATCCAATATAAGAGGCGGATTGTATACTGTTACCAAGATTGATTTAAGATTAAAGGGCTTTTTTTCATTTCATTAATTATCTTTGTTTATATTTTTCATTGTATTTATATATTTATTTTATTTTATTGATTTCATTTTTTTTGTTATCTTATGTTGTTTTTTTTTTGCTACTGGGAATGGTCGTTACAACTGCCCCATTGGAGCCTCTATTGATATATACAAGGTGGGAAAAAAACTCGACCGATATATAACAGTCGAGTTTTTTTCCTATATGAATCAATGAAAAAACTGTACTGTTATATATCAATACAGTTTTGAAATGCTCCTTGAAGTGTACTGAGTATAATGGGTTGGAAAGAACAAAGGAAAAGCTCACAGCCATGTGATAATAATCAGTTAATATAGGGTTTCATGGATAATTATGGATTCACAAATTCGAAAACCTAGCTAAACGCCGTTTTCCGGTACTTTCAGTACATAGCTCTGGGGAATTCACCTAATGGAGTGTAATAGCGAACTTGATGTTTTCGGCCTTTTTTTTAATTAAATGGAAATAAAACAGTTATTTCTTTATCAGAAAATAATTGAATATCATTCTTTGAATAATACCATACAAACAATAAAGTACATACAAAAGTTTACGCTTGTTTATTATGGAAGATTCCACTACGTCTGTTTAAATTTTATTGATTTTCATTATAAACAATTTATTTTTTTACAAAACAATGCAATAGATATTAAAGGAATATTGATAATTTTCTAAAACATCAATTTTTTTCACCTTGAACGGTAAAATAATGATAGAAAAGTAGAATTATCATGTAACTGTGTTATGTACTTCATTTGGTGTAATTCCCCAGAGCTAAATCAGCAATGTACCGGAAAACGGTGTTTAGCTAGGTTTTCGAAAAGGTCAATAGTCCATGAATATATAGATTTTTTAATCCATACATTTACAGATATTCAATGTGAAATTTGCTGGTTTTAGTTTAATACTAAAATCCGCAGCTTGAGATGAGTTGTTTTATTGATTGTTTAATTAACAAATTGTATGATTACTAAACTTTTAGGATAAAAAGCGAAAATTTAAAGTCATCAAACTGCCCTGAATCGTACCATACTGTTGCATTTAATCATGTACTCAGTAACCTAATTCTATTTAACCTGCGGTTTTGAATTTTAAGTTAAAATTTAACACGTCTAATATTTTCATACTTAATGATAATGAGTTCAAGTTACTGTCTGTAAATTTGCCGATAAAAAAGTCTATAAGATTATTGACGGTCCATATATTTAAATATGAAATCAGTGGGTTTTTTCCACCAAAATATTCAGCGAAATTTGGGTTCATTGTCCCTTTAAAATAGTATGGTTTTTTCCCCCTCAAACTTCAAAGCAGAAATTTCCATCTATACGGCAGCCTGAATTTGCCTTCAATGAATATCAATTTATTTGCAACTAATTGCCAAAAAATGTTGTATTTTATGCCTGTAAGACTTACTGTTAAGCAAGGTTGTTAACAAATTGATCTCTGATAGATAAGGGGAGCTACTCCCGACGACCCAACAAGTTAAACATGTGATGCGTCGATATTTTAGATCCGTTTATTAAATAAAAGCGACGTATTTTAAACTTGTGTTGCAAGAGTTGCTCCGCTTTTCTACCGCAAGATCACTACATGAAATAAATAAACAAATAAAATTCCCCCTCCTATTGTATTTTTCCCCCTCCAAAGGGCACGACCCCCATCCCCCAAAAGTGAAAAAAAATGGAAATCCTAGAACTGATAATTAAACAGACAAGAAATGACTAGGTGTATGGGGTCTGTATTGCTAGCCTAAATGCACTGTTGAGGAGAGCCTTACAGCATTTTTTCAGTTACAAATGAATGAAATGATGTTTAATGTCAGTAACTTGCATGTCTTAAATAACATTTTCACCAAGAGTGATAGATTCTAATGTAATTTATATTTTTTTCAAAATAATTTTACGGATGATATTCAGCCATTTATATTAATTTATGACAAGATATCGGATAGATCTATTAGATATAACTTCGCCTTCAGAAAAGTAGTTTTCATAAGCCAGGGCCAAAACACCATTTTTGGGGAAGGGGCCTCAGCCTTTTTCTTGGGGAAAATATGCATGATTTTGGCATACTTTGGAAAAAGGTGTCTCATATTTAACACAAACTTTTAACAAGTTCTTCAAAATAGAAAAGCAAAAAGCACTGGGAAATACTAATAAGGCAGTAAAAGAACTTAATTCAACACCATCATTAAATTTTGTTCCAACTTTTATGGGAAATTTCAAAAGACTGGGGAATTTCGATGACCAAACTGGGGAAAAAATGAGGCTAGTTTGGTTGGGGATATAGGCCTCTGCAAACAAGGGTTTTTTGTAAATTTTGTCTCATTTAACCCTTTACCTCATGTAGACATGTTTTGACGGCTTTTCAACTCCCTCCCCACCCCCCCCCCCATTTTTTGAGGCCTCAAACTGTGAAATAATGCCCTTTTTAGGCCCCAAACACCACTTTCTTGCATGCTGTTATGGAGGCTATGACCCAGTCAACATTTGTGCCAAGTTTCATCAGTATTGAAGCATTTTTCATAGTTTATTATACAGGGTTGTCATTAAGAGGCGGCAGGAGGCCAAAATGCCTGTCTCAAATGCATTATGGGCCGCCTCAAAATTAAGAAAACACTCTTTGTTATGCATGATCAACACAGAAATGACCGCCTCAAATTCAAAACAAACCTTCTGTAAAAAATGTTAATGACAACCCTATTATTTTGAACTTGTAACAGGAGGCTTTTCATTGAAAACGGCCATTTTTCACTATGCTCATTAGGGCTGGGGCAAGTATCCGAGTACTCGGATAATCATGAATCAAAGTGAAAAATTGTGTTTGAATATTCGTAAGCCCAGAGATCGTGGATTGCGATCTAATTTTTTTTATACATTCACTGTTTCTCACACACTTAAAATCGAGAAAAATACGATTTGAGTATAAAGTATAAGAAGTTTACCTAAATACAATTTGCTGGTTAATGTACCATGATGCTGAGCTAGGAAGTAATTGGTTTCAAAAAACAAAACAAAAATACTCATCCAAAGAATAAAAACATAAACCTTGTTTATATTTATGTTTAATGTTTAGTATTGTTATTTTTTTTTAAATAAACATGTTTTTATTTGTTTGGGTCGTCAGACCAAACAAATAATGGTAGCGAAATTTCAGAGTCTAATGTTCTTATTTCCAAATGCCGAAAGTAGTCCACTTTTTTGAAGCGGTTACTTCCCTTTTGTATGTACACTAAAGCCGAAAAATTCAGGGGAGATCACTGCGTAAAGATGGTCAAAGACAGGCGCATCAATTTTCAAGCAAAGTAATTCCCGAATGGTCGAAGATTTCTAATATTGTTTTCTGGTATTTTCTGATCGAAAATAACTAAATACAAAGCGGACATTCAATCTCTGACACAGAAGTTTATGACAAACCTAACAACAAGTAGTTCTCAAAACAGCTTAAAACTAGCGATTTAAAAGAAAGAAATATTTTATTTTGTTACAAGTATCCAACAAATTACAACGCATTTAAAGTTAAACAATAGCGTTGGCTTATAGAATTGTCAATAAATGCACAATCACAAATTACGCGGATGAATATGATTTTATCAATGAAAATACTATTTTTAGCCATGTAGATTACCGAATACTACACAAACCGAGTAGTGGAATATATAGATTCTACATGTCGGACTGTTTGGGCGAGAGGATTTTCGCTAAAATATTTACTTCAATTTTAAACAACAGGTTTACCCTGAACAAAATACCTCGAAATTAATAAGGATTACAAACCTGAATGCAATGGAAGTTCTAAATTTAGAATCACTTGATATTATTCAGACAGTGAGTGTATAACTTCTCCGTGGTACAGTGGTAACGCGCTCGCTTAGTGAGTGAGAGGTCTCGAGTTCGAATCCCAGTCGAGGAAATTTTTTTTTTGTTAAATTCTTTTTTTAATTGTTTTTGTTAAGGAAGTAGCCATGATTTACAAGGATAAAGTGTGGCTGTCGTAAAAAAAGTACATAAATGATTTTTTGATGCAACTCTAGTTATGCAGAATTCCGTATGTGCCTTACAAAATGAATTATAATACATAAAAATAAACTTATACAGGAAAATGCATACAGATATACAGTACGATTTAGATTGCAAAGATCAGAAAATACCAAAAGAACTTGAAGCCCTTTGATTCTTTATAAATATACATGCTTATAGTAAGCTTCAGGATTATTTACATCTGTGTTAAACAACAGTTAAAAGTCGTTACAAGCCCTAATTTAGAATAATATGGTTTTCTTCAGGCCGTTTACATATAAATTTAACCGTGGCTGAAGGGTTTTCGGGCTCGCTTAGGAAGCGAGAGGTCTGGAGTTCAAATCCCAGTAAAGGTAACTCATTTTTTTAAATTGTTAAAGTCAAATAAACATTGGATTGAATATCAGTGTTGCAATTAGT